GACTGGGAAGAAGGGGAAGATGACATGAACCCTTAGCCTCACCTCAGTGATTTCATCCCAACAACCCCATTTTACAGACAAGAATACTGTGGCAGAGTCGAGGTAAGCTGCCCAAGGTCACGCAGTGAGTGAGGGTGTCATGTGAACTGTTTATCTGCCTCCAAAGCTCATGTTCTCTCTACTGCTGCAGCAAACTTTGATGACGGTCCATGAGCCCTGGCAAGAGGGGGCTTGAGTTTCTGCTCCAATTTAACCCTAGCAGCTCTGCCTTCCACATGTGTGCCTATATTAGGGTTCTACATGAGATTCCACATGAAAAGAAGTTCTGCCATGAACGAAAGAGAGTTTGAACCGTGCACTATGATATGCAACCTGGCAAGAATGGGTAGAGCCTTTGTGCCTGGAAAGAGTAAGAAGGGTGATGTAATCCGGGCAGAAAGACAGAAGGGCGATGTCTAAGCACACACTTCCCAAACTCTGGAGAGAAGCTGCCTGAGTTCCAGGTCAGGCTCTGTAACTGTCTTCCAGGGGAAGGATCTTTCAGACCTTGGGCCAGGTACTGAGCCTCCCATGCCTTAGCTTACCCAACATCAAGATGAGTACAACACGAGGGACCAACAGATGGTGTAATGGTTACATCACTGGACTCCCACAGAGTCAACTATAGTTCTAGTCTTGGACCCGGTGGCTTTAAACTCACATTGGGTGCGTGTGCACGCGTGCCTGAAAATCTCAAGAGCAGACTGGAGGAGAAGGGATTGTGGTGTGGCCGTCCCTCCTGGGGGATAATTTCTTACTTCCTGTTTCTGTCTCTTTGGTGAGTGCACATGCCTTAAAGCCAAAACCTCTCATAAAAAAAAATGTAAAAAGATGAGTATAACATGAGTACTGCTCTTACTTCACAGAGCTGCTGAGAGATTGTAAGCACAGAGATAAGGAAAACAGTACAGTGGCCTGGCACTTAGCACAATGGCATTCTTACAAATTTATGAAAATAGCAAGGCTAACTGAGGAGAAAAAATCATTATGGACCAGATGTTTGTGTCATCCTGAAATGTTAAAATCCTAGCACCCATTGTGATGGTACCGGGAGGTGATTAGTGGTCTTAGAAAAGGGACCCAGAGAGCAATCTTGTCCTCTTTCCATCAAGTGAGGATACACACCTGCAGCCTAGAACAGGGTCCTCACCAAAATCCAACTGTGCTGGCACCCTAAGAAAGGTCTTCCAGCCTCCAGAACTGTGAGAAATAAATTTCTGTTGCTTATAAGCCATCCTGTCTAGGTATTCTGGTTGAGCAATCCAAACTAAGGCAATCCTGACACTATATAAGGACTTCTTGGGGAAACTCTGAAATTCTCACTCCCCACAAGAGTTTCTGTGGCTCTGAGCTCTGCCTCGCATTCTCTGCTGGCCTTGATCTGTACAGGTTTTGTATCACTGGGACAATGCCTGAAAAACAAGGGCCTCAATCTGCTGAGATACGGTTGTGTTCCCACTGCTGTTTGTCAGCTGATTCAATGAGAAGCTCAGTGGAGCCTGGGCTTTGACTAATGAGGTCTGTAACTCCAAACTCCCAAACTAATTTACTGCACTGCTCAGAGCAGGTGGCCACAAGGCTGTCCTCTCTTCTCTTATCCTAAGACTTGCACCCGCAGTCCCAGGACAGAAGGAGGCCCATGTATCAGCCAGACTAAACCCTAAAGGTTCTCTGTAGGAGAGATGAGACAGAATTCTGCAAGGCACAATGGGGTCCTGGGGCCCTTCCATCAAAACTGCCAGTGAATTAAGTTCCCATGAAGGTTTTGTGGCTTACAGAAGAATGTAAGCCCATGCGAACCATATTGACGACTGTATCCCAGTGCCTAGAACGGCGGCACGTCCCTACGAATGAAAGAACGAGGATCCCACGCAGGAGGAGCTAGTGTCTGCATTCTCTGAAACAGAGGTTCCCGCGGTCGTTCGCTGAACGCCTGGCTGGGTGGGGCCTTCTTGCTGCTGCGCTGCCTCTGCCTCTATACCTGTCCCCTCAGTTGGGGGCACCACCACTGGGTCTCTTTAGAGAGGTCAAACCTTTTCTCTCTTCCAAGCAGAAGAGTCACTTGCTGCAGAGACTGAGCAAGAAGGTCAACCAGTGCCAAGCATACGACCCGCTCCTCTCACACTCACTCTGGCAGAAATGAAAACATTAGAACTACACATGTCCACAGAAGCTACCTTCTCTTGGAGGATTCAAGGAAGCCAAAGCCCTGAGACCTTGAGCAAGTAGCCCAAGGACCAGAGCTGGCTGCAGACTCGGCTTCTCTCCAGAGCTCTGTGTATAGCACTTTCAAGGGTCCTTTCTCTGCCCTGTGATGGTCAGAAAGTCTCAGACTAACTCACAAGAGTGCCCCTGAAGCCTGGACTCTGCTTCTATATATTATAAACACAAAATATACCTACAGTATAGACACGGATACAGATTTTACATATATATACACACATGCATATATGTATAAATATATGTAGATAAGTACATATCTATACATACAAACACATATTCTTAGGGGATACTAGTTTATATCAAAACTACTCTAGAGTTCCGAACACATTTACTAAAGAGCCTAGCTACAGCCCCTTTATATTATGCCTATTTGTTACAAAATAGTGATAAGTGATGGGGAGTGGGAAAGTCAGAAATTAAGAGTGCAAGAAGGGAAAAATGTATATAATCTGAAAAAAAACACTCAATATTATAATTGCTTTGATTATTATTATTATTATTATTTTTTTAGGCACAACACGGAATGTGCTTTGAGACTTCAATAGCAAAGGAGAGCGTTCAGATGTTACGTGCTTCGGAAGAGGGTATGGCTTAAATGAAAAAGACTGGAAAGTGCTATTCTGGCCTCATAACCTAGGACAGCCTTAGAAATCGTCTGGTCCAATTCACTATTAAAGATAAGGAACCTTCTACCCAGAGAGGTTAAGTGACTTTGTGTCTAAGGTCAAATAGGGTTTATTTGTCCCTGAGGGGAGAGGCCATGGGACTTTATCTGTTCTGTCCATGGCACATGCATTGAATGGGAGTCCGTGGTTTGCTGTTGACCAGCTGCTGAAGGAATTTATTATACCAAGGATGTTAAGATACAGAGGGAAAGTTCCCAAACACACCTGGATTTTTTTTTTTTTTTAAATAAGGAGGGTGCTTGGAAAAGAAGAAGGGACCCTAAGGTTTCGCCTGCTCGCCATTTCCTTGGGGCAGAACCCCAATGCCTCATGCCCTGGGCTGGCCTTGGCTTCAGCCCCACTTTGTGTAAATTGAGGAGACTCCTTCCTGGCCCTCTTTCAGGGGGAGAACACGTCAGGGTGCTCGAGTGAATCGCAAGCCACCACACTCCCCTCCTCTTGGGTCACCTGCAGAGGCCTCTGCCAGGCTGGGCGGGTGGTTCAGTCTAGTTCGGCTACCTAAACAAGTTGCAAGTTTTCTCTCATTTGTGCCGACAGGATGGAGCATTTCAGAGGAAGGAACACAGCTCCGAACATCATCTCCCTGTGAGCAGAGGCAGCAGCCCAGGAAGGGTTTACCCACAGCCTTGGGCTGAGACAGACACAAGGCCAGACCCTGCCGGGGAGCCCAGAAGGAGGCGACTGTCCCCAGAGCAGCGGCTACAAATGCATCCGCCGGGCGCAGGAGTCCACTTACCGCAGTGCGACTGGAAAACCTGTGGCTTGATGACCTGATTACAGGCACTGCACACTACGAGATAGAAGTCGTCATGTGCCGGGTAATGGCCAAATAAGTGCATATCTGTGGGGGAAATGAAAACAGGGTTTTTTGAAAAAGCAATTAAGTCTCAGAAGGTGTACAGTTCCCTCTTGGAATTTCTTCAAGGACAGTTTTTCAAACCAGACAAGCAGGGAGGCAATAATCTTTACTAAAGGGAATTTGGTTTGTCATAACGCAACTCCCCGACTCTCAGAGAAGCACTTGCCTCAAAGAATCCCTCTTCATTTCATCCTTGGAAACAGACTGCTATTTCTGTGGATGGTCAGCAGTGTTGGGGCTGCCCTGAGTCACAGGTGGGGGGGGTTGACTAAGTGTGGGATGCAGGGAGGCTCTATTTATTTCCAGTTGGGGGAACTCCTGCCAAGTTATTCTTACTTAAGCAGTGGTCCCTCAGGGGAGTGAGAGAGTTGAGGGGGGCTGAGGACAGAAAGAAGTCACCTTGGCTTGAGCAATCCTGTGGGTTTCCCCAACACCTGAGAGAGACGCCAAGGCTCGAGGAATGCTCCGAACAGGTGGCTCGTTTGCTGCCATCATTATCCACTATGCACCTGGTGAATATTTACTGAGTGCCTGGGTGAGCCTGGCCCTGTGCTGGGTGCTGGGAAAACTGGGGAATGAGGAGGAGGCCCTGCACTCCTGGAGCTACGGTAGGAGACAGAAACATGAAACAGTCGCACTGGTCACCCTGATTGTGACTGTGACTGCTGACAATGAGGTGTGTGGGGTCCCATGAGGGCTGGTGGCAGTGACCCTAGTCACTGATGTTGAAGAACGCTTCCCCGAGGAAGGTGCACATCAGCCAAGACCTCAGGATGAGGAGGGGTTAGAGACAGAAGACCCAGGTGGTGGGCGTGTGGAGGGAGGGAGAGCAAAGTTCAAAGTTTAAGCCAAGGGAGGAGGGGGCACTCCTCAGAGGAAGCTTTTGCCCTTCTGGTTGGAACAGAAGAACCAGGAATGGTGGTGAGGGGTGAGAGTTGTGAGGGCTCACACACCATAAGGCCTATTGACCAATTTCAGGATTTGAAACTGATTTTCAGAATAGGAAGTTAGCGGGGGCCGGTAGGTGGTGTGGTGGTTGAGGCCGCTGGACTCCCACACGTGTGGCTGACCACGGTTTGAGTCCCGGACCTGGTGGCTTGCTTTCTCACTTTCTCTCTCTGTCCCTCTCTGGTCAAATTAAAATAAATAAATAGCTAGATAAATTTCAATAAAAAATTCTTTCAAAAAAGAGAATAGGAAGTTAGCAAGGGCTTTTACGCAGCGTGCTATGATCACGTACATACTGTTAAGGATCAGTTACATGGCACACACCTGAGACACGAACATATGTGTCTCCTCCAAAACTGTACATGAAGGCTCACAGCAGCCTTATTCATAAGAGTCCCAAAGTGGAAATAACCCACGTGCCTGTCACCTGATAAAGGGACAACAAAACGTTTTGTATCTATACAACGGAATACTATTCACTCACAAAAAGGAAGGAGTTCCCGATTGATGCTATGACATAGATGAACCCTGAACATAGGAAGTGAAGAAGCCAGGCACAAAGGCCACATATTATACGATTCTATTACATGAAATAGCCAGGACAGGGACAGAAAGTAGGTAGCTAAGTGTTTACCTTGGGTTTGGGTATGGAGAGATTGGGGCGGTGACTGCCGATGGGTATGCAATTCCTTTTGGGGGTGATGAAAATGTTCTAAGATTGATAGAGGTGACAACTGTGAATATACACTAAAAAGTACTGAATTTAAATGGGTGAATTGTAGAGTATATAAATTATATCTCAATAAAGCTGTCTAACCCCACACAGGAAAGGTCAGTTATGAGGAACCCGTGGTCACATGTCCTTGCACCACTGGGCGGAGGCAGGGCCCTGAGGGTAGTACTGCCAGTGTTCCCAGCTGCCAGGCTCTGGGTGAGTCACTGAGGTGCGGAGAGCAGGGCAGCCTGACACAGACAGGTTCATGGAGGAATGAATGGCATGGCCTGCAGGAAAGTGCCTCTGCCACAAAACTGAACCTCCCCAGACAAACCTCCTCCACCCACCCCTACGCCCTCAGTCACTAGACTCAACCTGTGTCTTTAACAAAAGCTCCTCAAAACGTGGTGGTTCCCCCCACTAGAATATGAAGCCAGAAGGAAGGGCAGCATTCCTCATGGTGCAAAGGAGGCACAGGACTATTCCAGCGAACACCTTCACAGTCTCCAGATTGGTTCATCTCACAGCAAGGAGCAGAGACTCTTCCTACCTGCCCTGGGTGGAAGCAGAGACCAGAAGCAGGAGCCATGTTGGTTTGGATGAGGTGGCTCCCACAGTGGGGTCCTCCTTGAGGTTTAGGTGCCTGAGGAGGCTGCTTGCCCCTGCAGTGCACGGCAGGGCAGGAACTGGGGACACAGGCCTGACTGATTTCTAACTTGTCAGTGGCCCTGGGCCCAGCCTGTTATTTGACCCCTCCAGGCCTGGTCTCTCTCCACTTCTGGGTCTGACTGATACTTGCTCACACTGTGTGTGGGAGAGTTATGGAGGGGAGTGGCATTAGTCAGTGCCTGGCAGGCAGGAGGCCTGGGAAGAGGCTGAGGGAGACCTGAGCTGGGCCTAGAGTCCTGAAGCATGAGGACATCTGTGCTGGACCTGGCGCTGTGCCAGACCTGGGCGAATGTGGCCCCTGGTCACCAGCTGGGGTGACAATACCTGTTGGGCCTTAACTGCAGATGCCATTCTTACTTCACTTTTTGTTTATGGGTTATTATTATTATTTAGTATATATTCATTTTAATTATAAAAGGAATCCATGGTCTTGGAAGATATTTGAAAAATACAGAAAAACTAGCATAAAATTTAAAAATCACTGACACATTGCATCTCATTTAAAGTTACATGTCCTTTTACCTATTTCTTAACACATACACACACACACACACACCCTCAACAGGTCTCACATTGGGATCCTCCCTCCAGCCCTGCAACCAGCCAGGACCACGGGCATGGGCATGTTGGGGTAGACCCTGGGCGTGAACCTGGGGCCCTCCCATCTGGCTCCAGTGTCGCACAGCAGTGGGCCTGCACCACTGTAGCTGGGCCTAAAGTCACATTTTCTAACCAGAAAGAAACTAGGAACTGGCGAGAGCTAAGGCTTATTTAGAGGACTGAGGCTTATTTACTTATTTAATAAGCATTAATTGAGCTGTCTTTCATCCTTTCTGCAACAGGTCAAGCTATGAGGAATAAAAGAAATTCATTAATGAAAAACAACCACCACCCCCAAAATTTCTTGATCACCTACTCTTTTTTTTTTTGGAGAGGTTTTTGCTATAGGGCAGGTGTGCTCGCCAGACAGACAGAGACAGACATAGAGACAGAAAGCGAGAAATCACCCCCCGGGGGGATGGTCACACCGCAATCCCTTCTCCTCCATTCTCCTCTCGGGATCTTGGGCACGCACGCACATGCGCCCAGCATGAGTTTCAAGTCACCGGGTCTGGGACGCGAACCGCGGTCGACTACGTGGGAGTCTAGCGACATAGCCATTACGCTAACTGCTGGTTCCCGACCACCTACTCTTGAGCCAGAAACTGTGCCAAGAGCTGGGAGGCTGAGGACAGAGGCAGCAGGTTGTGGGGAATGTGACTGCATCTTTGTCAGATGCACAGAAAGACCTGTTGGGGGCCTCACAGGACGCCTTTAGATGCCCCGTTCCTCTGTATTCCTCCAGAGATTTGTGGTGGCCACTGTCATCAACCCCACCCCACATACGCACACACCTGTTATGTCACTGAGTTGAAGGTAAAGGTTAAACTAGTCAGACGCAGCCGCCTGGGGGTGTGCTGCCCTCAAGGCCTTTCACCGCCTGGGTCTTGTCTTGTTTTCCCTCAACCTTGTCTACGTCTAGATCATGTCTCCGGTGGAAAGTGAGAGGACCTGCTTGTCTGCTTGATTATTTCTCAGGAAGCTGACCTCAGAATCTCCTCTACAGGCTCCTAATTTCTTAGATGGAAGGACACTTGACTCCCTGGACGACCACCGTGTCACATGGCCAGGAGTTCCCAGTCAGTGTGCCATTTGTTAAATTCACACAGGCTTTGGAATGAAGGAGGGAGGAAAAGCTGAGATAAAAACCACTATGTCAGACACGATGCTAGGGCCTTTATTAGGTCTTTCTCCCTCTCTTTTAATTTACCTCACAAGAAAAACATTCAGTGCACATTTGAAAATAAAAACAGCCATGTGCTGAAGTGGGCTTGTACCAGCTTGTGAGAGCCAACTGTGCATGCTCTCCGAACTCTGTATTTAGTGTTGTTTTGGTAGTAGCTAAAATCGGCCGTGGTGGGCATATTTCTACCATGGAAATGGGCAAACACTACGAATCAGGTCTTTTCTCTTTCTTCTTCTTTTTAAGTATATGTATTTCTTCTGTGAGTGACAGAGAGACAGAGGGACGGAGAGAGAGAGAGAGACCGAGAGAGACCTTGACACCACAGTCCACCCCCAGCTTCGGTCAGGGGGATCATGGGCACACAAATGCCTGGTGTCATCAGAGTCTCTGGATACACACCTGGAACGTTCTCGTGCGGGTCAGCCTTGCAGAGCATTGCGTTTTACCTTCTACCTCTGTGCCACTGTCTGGCCCCAAGTCCTGTGTTTTGTTTTGGAGAGCAAATTGTTAAACATTTATTGGTGCACTACAGAAAAAAGAAGAGAAAGAGTGAAAGGTGACACCACCCATAAACCTACGCCCAGAGATAACACTGTGGACATGTTTATATCCTTCAAGACTTGGTGATGTGATAACATCATCTTAGTTAATCTTCATAATTAACCTATGAAGGTGTCAGCATCCACACTTTCCAGGCAAGGGAACAAAGATAAAGTAATTTACCTGGAGATCCTGTGGCACTGACTTATAAAGTAGGATGAGAGTCCAGGACACACTGACTCTAAGGCCAGCGCTTCTTACTCAACAAAATGCTGCTGCTTTAATAACAGAGTAAGACCCCATTTCACAGATGAAGAAACCAGT